CTCCCTCCCTCCTTCCATCCCTCCCTTCTTTCCTTCCTCCTTCCCTCCCTTCTTTCCTCCCTCCTTCCATTCTTATTCTCATTCCCTTCCCTCCCCCTCCCTCCCTCCCTTTTCCCATCTCCTTTCTTCTTTTCTCACTCCCTCCTTTCTTATTCCCATTTCCTTCCTCCTCCCTCCTTCCCTCCCTCCATTGTTATTCCCATTTCCTTCCTTCCTTTTTCCTTTCCTCCCTCTTGTCCTTTCTGTTCCGACTTTCCTCTTGTCTATTCTTCCCTCTCTCCCTCCTTCCTTTCCTTTTCCCCTTTCCTTCCTATCTCCCTCCCCCTCCCCTTCTCTACCTCCCTTTTTCCATCTCCTCCCTTCCTTCCTTCTTTTTCCCATTTCCTCCCTATCTCCCTCTCCCCCGGCATGGCACCGTGATGGCTGCCATCTTGCCTTTTTTGACCCAACCTGGTGGAAAAACCTCCACCCCTTTTTCCCCTTTGGTAGCTCTCCTTCTCCTCGGCTCTTTGGGTCCCTCCAACCAACTTTCTCGGCGTGACTTTTCCTTCCTTCCTTCGTTCTCGTTTCTCTCGTTTCCTTCCTTCCTTTTCCTCCCTGTCTATTCGAAGTCGCGCATTCCCCTTTTTCTGAGGATGTTCTGGAACAAACCTTTTCTTTCAGCCACATTCAGGCCGTCTCCCACTTACAACCAAGCGAGCCCAACATTTCCGGAGCTAAGCGAGACTTTGATTAAATCGGTTTTGCCCCCCCCACCCGCCCCCCGCCCCCATTTGACGACCTTCCTGGCCACCGTCGTTAAGGTTCCCCATCAGGAGGTCACCAGTTACCCCAATTAAATCATGAGTCTCGAGCCAAACTTTATTAGGAGTAAACATGCTGGCATTGCCTGGATGCAACCGGCCCTGAGACACAGAATTCATTGTCACCTTTGACCCCGTTTTTCTCCCTCCCACCCCCTGGGTGTATCGTAATTCATATCCTCCAATGGGACACCTCCCTAGCCCAGAGTCATCGATCAGGCTCTCCAGTTAGATCATTGCGTGGTAGAAACTTCGGTCACCTAGTTACTATCTTTGAAAAAAAATTATGGAATGCATTTTCAGTTTCCAAGCTGCCGCACTGCTCTTTCAAACCCCTTTCCTCCCCCTCCCTTTCTTGTTGACAACTCTTTAAAAAAAAAAAAAACCCAGAGAAATATTTTACGAGTTGACAGCAAGCGTGAAACACGGTCCCTTTATTTCCAGCGCCGTTGTAACTTGGAACGGTCTCTAAGCGAATGGTTGTAAATGGAGGACTTTACCTATGCAGCGTTTCCTTTCTGGGAATTTGGTTGTTTTTTCTTTGTGCAGGTGTATAAAATCACACACAATTCAAAGGCAAGCGAGATTGTCGTTGGGTTCCTCCTGGGTGTAGCTAAGTCTGTTTGACGCCGTTTTTGTCCTTTCTCCCCTGGGGCCAAGTTTGAAATGGGGGCTTTCATGCCCAACCTGCCTTCGTCCATGAGGAAGCCCCCTCCCCAGGTGAAGGCCCCCCTCAGCCTGCAAGAGTTCCTGGACACCATCCCGGAAATGAACGTCACCAGCCAGGTGCTCTCCGTCCTCTGGGTGCTGCGGAACGAGACCTTCGACATGGTGAGAGACGCCCTTGCCCTTCCCTCCCTCCCTCTTTCTTTCTTTCCCTTTCTTTCTTCCTTCCTTCCTTTCTTTCTTTCTTTCAGTCTTTCTTCTTTCTCTCTTTCTTTCAGTCTTTCTTTCTTGTTTCTTTTTTTGTTTCTTTCAGTCTTCCTTACTTTCTTGTTCTTTTCTTTTTTGTTTCTTTCAGTCTTTCTTTCTTGCTTGCTTCTTTTTTTGTTTCTTTCAGTCTTTCTTCCTTTCTTGTTCGTTTCTTTCTTGTTTCTTTCAGTCTTTCTTTCTTTCTTTCTTTCTTTCTTTCTGTCTTTCTTGTTTCTTTCTTTCTGTCTTTCTGTTTCTTTTTTCTTTCGTTCGTGTTTCTTTCGTTTCTTTCAGTCTTTCTTTCTTATTTCTTTTTTCTGTCTTCTTTCTTTCTTTCTTTCTTTCTTTCTTTCTTTCTTGTTTCTTTCTTTCTGTCTTTCTTTCTGTTTCTTTTTTCCTTCTTTCTTGTTTCTTTCAGTCATTTCAGTCTAGTCTGTCTGTTGGTCTGTCTTTCTTTCTTTCTTTCTTTCTTTCTTTCTTTCTTTCTTTCTTTCTTTCTTTCTTTCTTTCTTTCTATTTCTCCTTTCTTTCTTACCGTCCCTCCCTCTTTTCCTTCATTTTTTTCTCTTTCTCTTCCTTTCTCTCTCCTCTTTCTTTATCTCTTGTTTTCTTTTCTCTTCCTTTCTCATTTTCTCTCTTGTTTTCGTTCATTCGTTCATTTTCCTTCTTTTTATTTCTTTCATTCTCTTCCCCCCCTTTTCTTCTTTTCTTTTCTTTTTCTTGTGTACTTTCTTTTCTGATTTTTTCTTACTTTTTCTCCTTTCTTCCTTCCTTCCTCCCTCCCCCCCTTCCTTTGTCTCTCTTTCTTTTTCTTTCTTTCTTTTCCTCCCTCCCTCTTTCATCTTTCTTTCTTTTTCTTTCTTTCTTTTCCTCCCTCCCTCTTTCATCTTTCTTTCTTTTTCTTTCTTTCTTTCCTTTCTTTTTCTTTTCTTTTCTTTTCCTTTCTTTCTTTCTTTCTTTCTTTCTTTCTTTCTTTCTTTCTTTCTTGCCTTCCTTCCTTCCTTCCTTCCTTCCTTCCTTCCTTCCTTCCTTCCTTTCTTTCTCCCTTCCTCCCTCCCTCCCTCCCTTCAGCACCCGGCCTCTTTGCTACTCCCCCCTTGCGCTCAACACCCCCTCCCTTCTCCCCCCCCTCCCCCCCCCCCTCTGCCTCTCCTCACTTAGAAGCACGTCGGACTCCCGTGACCCCACAGCCACTTGGTCTCTCCATGGACCAGGCCAGGGGGGACGAAAGCAGGGTTGAGACTATGCCACTGCCAGGGGCCAGATGTGGTGGAAGAGAATGGCGATGGTGACTCCAGCAGGCGCAGACAGACAGACGCGCACGCACGCACGCACACACACACACACACATACACACGTCCTTCTGCTTTTTCTGGGAGGTTAATTGCAGGCACCGTTTGCGGTCTGAGCTTTGCATTCTCTCCAGGACGTGCATCCTTTCGGGTGTTGCATCACGGCCAGCATTCAACCTTCTTGAGCAATTCCCGTTTTTCAACGTTTTTTTTTTTTCAAATGTACACGAGAGCAACCTTCCAGATGACCTCGTGGGGGGGTGGGGAGCTGCCCCAAAGAAGAGAGGGGAGGGGTCAAGTTATTCTCCAAAGCCCCTGAAGGCAGGAGAAAGAAAACAACGGTTGGAAACTCATCAAGGAGAGAAGCAACCTAGAACTAAGGAGGACAATTAAACAGTGGAACAGCTTGCCACAAGAAGTTATGGGTGCTCCAACATTGGGAAGTCTTTTAGAAGAGACTGGAAAAATTTGTTTGAAATGGTGTGGGGTCTCCTTCATTTAACAATGGCAATGATTTAATCTTTAATTTGCTTGAGCACGGTGGGGTTGGTCTAAATGACCTCCGAGGAACTTTCCGACTCTGTTATTCCATTATTCTCCATAGTTTTCCTCCAGAAGTGGTGAATGCTGTAACACTGGAGGTTTTTAAGAGGAGATTGGACAGCTGTTGGTTTGAAATGGTATCAGTACACCTGCTTGAGCGGTGGGGGGCTGGACTAGATGACCCCTTCCAATGGCTATTCCGTTATTCTCAATAGCTTGCCACCAGAAGCTGTGAATGCTCTAAGACTGGAACTTTTTAAGAGGCGTTTGGATAGCCATTTATCCAGAATGATACAGGGTCTTCCTGCTTGAGTGGGGGTGGTGGTGGTGGTTGGACTAGATGGCCTCTAAGGTCCCTTCCAACTCTGCTATTCCGCTATTCTCAATAACTTTTGTCCAGAAACGGTAAACACTCCGACAATGGGAGGTTTCTAGGAGATTGGACAGCCCTTTGTCTGAAAAATGGTACAGGGGGTGGGCTGGGGGTGGGTGGGTTAGACTAGATGACCTCCGAGGGCCCTGGCCAACTCCTGTCTATTCTCTCCCGCTTCTGCAGAAACCGCTGGGCTACTACGACGAAGAGCACTTCGTGGAGGAAGCTCCAAAGCGGCTCATCAGCGGTTTCCAGGAGTGTCTCCGGCGCATCACCTCGGCCATCGACAGCCGGAACCAAACCCTCAGGCTGCCTTACACTTACCTCTACCCCCCCAACATAGAAAACAGCACGACCATCTAAGGACGCTGCCTCGCTCAGCCCGCGCATGTTGCTAGTCCTCAACGAGGCTCCCCGCTCCTTTTTTTTTTTTTTTTTTTTTTTTCGTCTTCGAGGATATGAAAAGCATTTTAGCACCAGAAATGTCCAAATTCCACTTCTGGGAAACCCTCCAGGGCAACAGAAGAGGCAAAGGAGAAAACTATCACGGATATCATTGTACAGCTTAGTCCTCGACGTACGACCGAAAGTGAGCCCAATGGTCCTGTTCCTAAGCGAGACTTTTTTTTCTCCAAAGGGAATTCCCCCCACCCACCCTCAACGTTATGACTTTTCTCGCCTCAGTTGTGAAGCAAATCCCTGCAGTTGATTAACTTAGCGACCCGGTCGTTAAGTGAATCCGGCTTCCCCTCAGGAGGAGGCAAAGGTCGTTAAGCATGAAACACGATCCGAGGTCCCTTTTTTTGTCAGTGCCATTGTAACTTTGGTTGCTTTGGTGTAGGGTCTCCCGCTTGGGGGGGGGGGGTTGGACTAGATGACCTACAAGGTCCCTTCCAACTCTGATTCTCTATTTTAGATCTTTTAGATCTGCTAAACGAACGGTCGTAGGTCGAGGACTAGCCGCAGATCCCTTCTGTGAATTCAGGGGAAGCTGACTGAGCAATTTTGCAGTAACTAATTGGGGGACCAAATGGTCTTTTTGCAACCAGACATGTCAAGAGCGCCTGATATTTTTCCGCTACCAAAATAAATCCTGTTTTAAGCAACTTTCGAATTTTCCTTTCAAAGAAATGCTGAAATTCAAGTTGTTGTTTTTTCATCTCTCTCTCTCTCTCTCTCTCTCTCTCTCTCTCTCTCTGTGTGTGTGTGTGTGTGTGTTGACCCGTCTTTCCAGACTATGACAAGAGTTAAGAACGCCCAAACCCGAAAAATTACTTTGCAGTTGTCTTGTTTTGCAAACTTGGGTAAATTACTCCAAAATTGAGCAAAAATAGGTGTGTTTTCCCTTCTCCGAAACGACCCACAATCGCATTACACAATCATGATAGAGACACTTAAATGGATTTCAAGGGTTTTCTGTACATTATGCATTGCTTTCACACCAACCTTGGCAACTTTAAGATGTAGGGACTTCACCTCCCAGAATCCCCCAGCCAGCTCTTTCCCCCGCCACTTTGCCGAAGTCAAGATATATTACACTTGCATTCCCACCGTCTATTAAGAAAGTTCCCCTCCATGGATGGCTGGGGAATTCTGGGAATTGAAGTCCACAAGTCTTAAAGTAGCCAAGGTTGGAGACTCCTGATATAAGACGTGTGGACTTCAACTCCCAGAATTCCCCCGCCGGCTTTTTTTCCCCACTTTGCTGAAGACAATATTACAATAATAAATGACTTTGCTGAAGTCATTTATAATTCTGGCTTGTTTTGTTGCACTGCATTTATAATTCCAGCTTGTTTTCCTACATGCATAATCCTGGCTTGTTTTTCTGCATGCATTTATAATTCCGGCTTGTTTTCCTGTGTGCATTTATAATTCGGGCTTGTTTTCCTGCGTGCATTTATAATTCGGGCTTGTTTTCCTGCATGCATTTCTAATTCGGGCTTGTTTTCCTGCATGCATTTCTAATTCTGGCTTGTTTTCCTGCA